AAACTGAAAGGAACCACAACCCCCGCTGGACACTCGGATTGGGAAGGCCAAGTATTCCGTATACCTTCCTGAAAAAACACGAAAAACAAGTGGCCACGGTCCAGTTGCCGTAGAGATCATGAGGATGGTGAAGAAGCTTGGAGGATGGAAGCAGAAACTGTGGAAGGGAGACAAGTTGGAGCTGCTGCTGTTTGGGATTCCAAGGGACATGACGAGGATAGAGTTCAAGAACTGTTGTGACAGGGAGGGACTGCACTGCCTAGCAAGGGGACAAGTAGGCAGAGAACATGAACACTTCCGGGTGAAATTGACCAAGGGAGACAGCCAAGAGTGCTTGGGGGTTGACATCGAGAAGCTGTCGAACTACGTATGGAATTTTGGATGGAGGGTTTGCATCGCGAACATGATAGAAACAGAGTAGGTAAGGAGACAAGAGGCGAGGGCGATGGAGGCGAGGAAAGGACCGAGCGGGGGAGGCGAGCAGGCAAGTCAGAAGCACGCCGAGAAGAAACGGAAGGCGAACGATAGAGTGCGCAAAATCTTTGATAGGGAAAAGCACAAGCTGAGAGTAGGGTCGTGGAACGCGTGCGGGTTCGCAAGGAGTGAGCGCAAGCGGTTGGAAATAGTGGACCAAGTACAGTCGAACCTCGCTTAACTTAACCAAAATTAACTTAACTCCCTCGGTTAACGTAACTATTTTTTTTGGAAACATGGTGGCCCGCAGAATATATTTTAGATGGGGGGTATCAAATATAGCTCGCGGACCCCCCTGAAAACAGCGGTCCTACTACACACAGCCGTCGGCAGAGACCATCTGTTAGACCGCAGAGAGGTCTGCTGCTCAGTGCTGCACCTGCTGTCTGTGGGTATGGAAAAATTCCTTCCACCCAGCGGTGCATCGTCCGCACCTGGCAAGAAACGATGCGGGGAACCTACATGCATGGTACCAGGGCTCATCTCTTCGGTGCACACGTGCCCGTGTGGTCGATGGATGCACGTGTTTTGTGGTCGCGGCATTGGGGCGGAAGTCTACGGACAGCAGAGGTCGTAGCGTGTGCGGTTCCGAACCAACGCCGTGTTTGGGGTGGCCTGAATATGTCGTGAATGCGTCGCAGCACATGGGAATAACCCACGTCTTTGCGAAGTATGCGCGGAGGTTCAAGCGTTTCAACTATATCATCTTGGTTATAGTGTTCAGTAAATGGGAACAAAAAAATATATTTACCTCCAACTTTCCGGTCTCCTCGTTCGTGACACACATACTGGAGCTCAATGCGCGTCTATTGACGTATTAACCGCCTCTGTTGGCCCCGGGGATGGTGAGTTTTGGTCCCCTGAATCTTAACTTAACTCCCCCCGCTTAACTCAACTTTTTTCAGCGAAAAAACATGTGTTAGGTTAAGCGAGGTTCGACTGTAGAACAAAGCGATCTAGTAGTAGTGGGGATCCAAGAGACGTGGGAATTGAAGGATGGGGACGTGGTCAGCAAACAAGGAAAATACCGGTGGGTAGGGAAGGCAAGAAAGGGCTTAGACCCGAACAAAANTGTTGGCCCCGGGGATGGTGAGTTTTGGTCCCCTGAATCTTAACTTAACTCCCCCCGCTTAACTCAACTTTTTTCAGCGAAAAAACATGTGTTAGGTTAAGCGAGGTTCGACTGTAGAACAAAGCGATCTAGTAGTAGTGGGGATCCAAGAGACGTGGGAATTGAAGGATGGGGACGTGGTAAGCAAACTAGGGAAATACCGGTGGGTAGGGAAGGCAAGAAAGGGCTTAGACCCGAACAAAAGGGGGGAGGGGGGAGTCGGATTCCTGGTCAAGGAACACTTGTTTGACGTGGTGGAAATAGTGGTGAAAACGGAGTTCGACGAAAGCCTAAGGCTCAAGATACCTGGGGAGCGGGGTGAGAAAGATTTGTTTCTAGGGAACGTATACGTCCCACCGTCGTCGAAGAAAGTCGCAAGCGAGGAGCAGGAGAACGTTGGATAAATTGGCGAAGATGTCCAGAGGTTCAGTAGGAAGGGAGAAGTTGTCATAGTGGGCGATTCAACTCCAGAGTAGGGAAAGCTTCCAGTAGAGGACAGGCGATCGGGCAGCACGGAGAGGACAAAATGAATGACAACGGAGTGAGGATGCTTGAATTCTTGGGAAGCAACGAGCTGATGGTGTTGAACGGTAGGAGGCAATGCGATAAGCCGGAGTTCACCAGGCAACGG